GCCCCTGCCTCCCCGGGGGGGGGCCCCGCCGGGGGCCCGGCCAGCGGCCCCTGAGGCCGGGAAGGAGCCGCCGGCGAAGCGATGCAGGAAGGTGAGCGGCTGCCGGGGGGCCAGCGGGCAGCTGGGCCTGGGCGATCCCCCCCCCCCCCTGCCCTGCGGCGCAAGAAGTGCTGCCGGCCGTGAGTTTGGGCCCCAAGGGACCACCCAAAAAAGGCCGGTGGCATCCCCTGGACACGGGAGGCCAAGCATCTCCCCATTTCCGAGTCTCCCTTCCTCCTGGGATGGGTGCCAGGGCCCCCCTCTTGCAGCTCCGGTGTGCCCAGCCACCAGCTGGGAGCCAACCCCTGGGTTTTGCCTGCTGGGTTGTTTCCACCTCCGTGTCCTGTTTCTCCACAGCCATTGTGATCACCGAGCAGCCGGTCTCCGTCTCCGTCCCTGTGGGATACTCCTTCGCCCTGCGGTGCAGAGCTGAGGGACGCACGTCGCTGCAGTACCAGTGGTTTTGTCAGCACCAGGTAACGGTGGGAGCAGAGGTGGCCCTGAGTGGGGCACCAGGCTGGGTCCCTGCCCACGGTGGCGGAGCTGGCCTTCTGCGGGCAGAGCTGGTGGGAACCAGGAGGCTAGAAGGAGAGGGAGATAGGATGCGCGTGGATGCCAAGGGCTTCGGCAGATGCTGGGGTTGGGGGCGTGCAATGGAAAAGCTCCTTCTCCTGCATCCCTGCAGCTGGAGGAGGGGAGGAAACCAGGGATTTCCGCTTTTTCTGCTCTTATAAGGGGCCTGCTGGTGCCGCCTTCTACCAGCAATGAGAGGGGACTCGCTGCCCACCACCTGTGTTTTCCCCTTAGTCTATCTGCCGCCAGATTCCTGGTGCCACCAAGCAAGACTTGCCCATCACTGCACAGCAGACTCAGCTCTACACCTGCAGAATCAATGACTTCAACAAAAATGCTGTTTTCTCCGACTGGGTGAAGGTGGAGGTCCATCAGTGTGTCGCCAGAGGTAGGAGTGTGTCTTCTAGCTTGTCTATATTTTACGCTTCGCCCACCCTTGCAACAGTGATCCTGTGCGGTTCTCAGGGCAGTGTGTCGTTCCAGCTCAAAAATTGCAATACAGAAGGATTTCTCCAGCGACACGAGTCTGCAGGTCTAAGCCAGACCTCTGCGTCCATCCTCTGGATGGTTCAGGTCCCTGTCATGGTCCCAGTAACTCCGGCTGTATGTACCTGCTCCTCCTGCTGATCACTTGCTGTAGGTTTCCCAGAGTTATACTGGGTGTTTGCTGGTTTGCCTTGGGCAGAGGGGCTGGAAGAAGCAATCTGGCTATTTCAAGGCTGAGCAAAAATAACTCTGGGTGTGGTTGACCTCAGCACATTGACTGCGTGCTTGGCAGGACAGGGCGAGCATCAGGTTTGGGAAGCTAGAGGCAGGGCTTTGGTATGTCGTTTACTGTCGCAGGTGTTGTTCTCAAGTATTCCCTGCTCCCAAAGCAGAAAGGTGCAGTAGTGATGCTGCAACTGCAGTCATCCTGTGGGACAGCATCTCTTGGTGCAGGTGGAAAAAGCTTGCTTTTCTGGCAATATGCACAGGGTCTTTTACAGGGTGAAAAAAATGACCATTGTTTTCTGTCCATGCGGAGGGAGGACCAATTCTGTGTCACTGCTTTACAGGACTGCCCCCTCAGCTCTGGGGAGGAGAACCGGTCATCGTCCTCAACCCCACCGAGCAGAGGGTGGAGGTGGGGAAGCCGCTACAGCTGCATTGTGCTGCCATGGGGGTCCCAGCCCCCAGCTACCAGTGGTACCGGAATGGGAACCTGCTGGAACATCAGAAGAAAAAAAACCTCTGGGTAACGTTGCCTTGGGATAGTTCGGAAACTTTAACTGCTGAGGTGGGTGATGGGGGAAGCTCGTTGCTGGATGGTGGGCATGGCAGAGCCTCAGAAGCCTTGCAGAGACTGCTGAAAATTGTGTTATTGTCATCCTGAACATGAGAGGTGGCAGTCCTTAAGCCCGGCTCGTATCTGCCTGTCAAGATTTGGGTATGCTTTGATCTGTGTGAGCAGGTGAATGCCAGCAGAACGCAGTCTCTCCTTGCCTGTCCTCCCTGTCTCTCCAGCCCTTGAGAAGCCTCCTTGTGCTCATCTTTCCCTGCCACGTTGCAGGGTTGTGAGAAAGCACTCCACGTATCACCCCTGTTGCTTTGATAGCTGACTGAAGGACTCTGGGTGAAGAGGCAATACGTTTTATGGGCTTCTTTCAAAACTGTGGATATTTCTCTAAGAAGTAACCGATTGATAGATGTGTCAAGGGCTCTCAGCACATCTCTCGTGCCTTTTTGCAGCAGTGGCACAAGAACAGCTATTGTATGTCTGCACAGGGGACTGTGGAGTGATGGAGCTGCATGAGTGCTGTCTGCCTTCAGGAGGGCTAGAAGGAAAAGTGGTTAGTCCCTACAGAAAAGAGTCAGGGAGACAGCAAAAAGTCTGGGTTTATTTTGGGTCACTGGCTGAATTTCAATCAGTGCTGTCTTCTTGGAGCAAGAAAGGCAGATTTCCTTCTGGGGCATTGCGTGAAGGGTAATGAAGACAAGACATCCAATCTCTTCTCAGTAGTGGTAGATGATATTACAGCAGACAGTGGCCTCAGACTGCACTTTTCACAGGGAAGTTCAGGCTGGGGATTTGGAAGGGGTTCTTCATTTGGAGATGGGTGGTGCTGCACTGGAGCCAGAAAGGCAGCGAGATCTCTGTCCTTGGAGGTTTTCAGTACTCGACTAGACAAACCTATGGCCAACCTGACCCAGTGGTGGCTTATGTTCCTCTCTTACCAGGAGCCTGGGCTGGAAAACCACAAAGGTCCTCGCCAGCCAGTACTGTTCTGATTCTTGTCCCGCATCAAGAGAGATGGATAAGAGTAGAAAACTTGCCAGAAGAGAGCAATGGGCATGATCAGAAATCTAGAAAATGTCACCTAAGAGGAAAAACAGGCAACCTTCTGATGCTGGCCAGGCAGCATTCTCCCAGTGTGGCTCTTAAGGCAGAGTATGCCTATGACAGAGGGTTTCAGGGCTGCTGGAGAAAGAAGGGAAGGCATTTGGGCAGAGGATTCTTGCGCTCTAGAAGCTGGGGTCATCAGCAGACTTTAGCACATGGTCTTACTGAGCTTCTTAGAAAGACAAAAGTCATGGGAAATCTTGGCTTTGTGAGGCAAGCAATGAGGACTCAGCAAACAGCAAGAAAAAAGACTTTTTATTCCAGGAACACGGTGCCTTTGGCAGATACTGGCAGGGGATTGCACACTTTCACCATAAATAATGTGATTTAACTTTTGATCTGTCTAGATCACCCATGCAAAGATCAGTGACTCCGGCACATACCTCTGCTGTGCCTCCAATAGCCATGGAGAGCACTGGACCAACGCCGTGGATATTCACGTAGGTGAGCAGAGCCAACCCACGTCTGCTTTGCTGCAGATCACCTTCTAGCATGAAATCTAATTAGAGGGCATAAATGAATTTAGTTCTGTTGCCTGGAAGTGCCGAGTTGGTGAGCAAGGAGCCCAATGCTGGTGTGTTACCCTGCGGCTCAATCGGTGCAGGGGAAGCTGGGCTCTGGGGCACGGGATTAGGAGAAGTAGGATGTGTGGCTCTGATACTTGCACCTTCCCCTGGCTTGGACGGATCTTGCACACTTTTATTAACAAAAAGAAAGGCCACCAGTTTTAAATATTGCTTCTGCAGGGAGCCAAAGGTAAGAGACTTCAGCGTAGAGAAGTAGCATGGGGCTCTGCAGGGCAGCTGGAGTGTCCTGGCAGTCCTGTGGCGGCTGTCACGGGAACAGCCTGCAGACCGCAATTTCACACCCCGGATATACTGGATATGATGATCTCAACAGAGCTCAGCAAGCCCTGCTGAGCGGCGGGCACAGGCGTCCGTCAGACTGTGATAAATAGGATTCCTTGATAACGGGGTTCAGAGGTAGCGAGGGAAGCAGTGTCTGTAAAAGAAAAAAAGCCAAAACCCAGTGATCCGCTATATTGCGGTGTGGGATGTTGCTGGGTTCTGCAGTCTGTCAGAAACCTGCCACCTTAGGGCAGGTTGAGTGTTCTCAGGTGCTTGCTGTGGTTTTCTTGCCTTGCCAAAGTGCTGGTTTAATAGCTCCTCAGCCAAATCGCAGCAAGCTCCCATGCTAAGACTCATTTACAGCCTTGCTGAGATGAAGTGATGCACTCAGATGCATATTGCTGGAGAGAGTGTTTATTTTGGGAAGGTTCAGGTCCCTTGGGCTGGCAGCCGAGGCCTGATGCTGTGTGAGCTGACAGATCCCGGGGAGAAGATGGGTCCCTAGAGCCTCGGGCATGCTCCACCTTCAGTGTGATGGCCACTTTGGCTTTCTGCCTTTGCCCTGCTGTGGAAGAAGAGTAGCACGGGCTAGCTTTGCTGGCTCTTTACTCCATCTAGAGATTTTTCTATGCCATAAGCTTCTCATCTCACCTTCTAGGCTAGCTTTAAAATTGCTCCAGAGTGCAGATTGGTCCTGTATAGCCAGAGAGTGCTCTCCCTGCCTCCTTGCAGCTGGCAAAACAGCATCCAGGGGGGGACAGGCAGTGAGAAGGGGGCACCGGATCGGGTTGGGTTCAAAATGTTACAGCTGAGTAGCTTTAACATGCAACAGGCGGCTCTGTCACAGGCAAAAAAGGATGAATGGGCTTGTTCTGATGGCTTTCCAGGCATCCCTGGTGCATGAGCAACACTGGTTCAGGTGCTCAAGGTCTTCCAGACCCATGAGATTTATGCAATTAAAAATATGCTCTTAATTTCTTTTTTTAGAGCCGGTAGGGTGTTAGGGCTTTCTCCTGGGCTGGACTTTTTTTTATTTTTAATTTAAATAGGAAAAGCTGGAGCTATTAGGGTAGTGATGATTTTAAGAGGCTGGGAGCGCTCGGGAAGGAGAGCTTGGGGAGCTCGCAAAAGTGAGTCACATTTGGGGTGCTAAAAGGCGTGGAAAGGCAAAGCAGGGTGGTGGGAATATTACCGCAATCAAAAGCAAACAAGAGGCTTCCGCTGCACTGACGACTCATGGGAAGAAGCTTTCTGTTTTGAAGCTTATGTCAACCTTGAGTTGTGTTTTCTTTGGTTCCGCTGCAGCAAGGGAGTGGGCAAGTCACCTCGGGAAGCGCGGCAGCCCAGGCAGGGCTGGTATGAGTAGCGCAGACCTGCTGATGGGTGCGAGCTCCTCCACGCTGGCGCTTCTTCCCCTGGCCTGCCCCTTCTCCAAGCTTTGCTTCCCAGCTGCTCAGGATTTCATAAGTCAGGCAGGCTTTCATAAATCCTCCTAAAATCACCAGACCATGGTCTTTAAGGTTAGCAGTCAGGCGGTGAAGAACTTGCCTGAGGAGTGTTGCTTGTGCCAATGCTCTGCGGTGTTTGACCCGGCTTTGCATTGCTGGGGGATGTTAGACCTGGTTTCAGACCTGCGATGGGAGCTGGCACTGGAGCGCTGGGTGCTGGGCACAGACTTATCATTTCCCTCTTTCTTTTCCAGGTACAAGTCGCTCTGAAAAGTATTTTGGTGAGTACTGTCATCTCTTCTTCTTGAGCAATTACTCCCTTAATTAAAAGCCAAGCTCCAGGGTAGATGGGAGGACAGTGCATAGGAGTGCTTTTCCTGCAGAGACCGCTTCAAGCCTTTATGCCCATATTGTCACAGGCTCTGGGCTTTTGGGATCAGAGCTGCAAGGCACAGAATGAGTCCCATCCCCTGCCAAGCCCTGATCAGTCTCAGCAAGTGGAGTAAGATTACTCCTAATGAGTAACACAGTCTTGACCTCTGTGCCCACCAAATGAGTTTAAAAGTGTTGTTCACATGACACCTTTTCCCTTCCTTGAAATACCTCCTCGAAGCAGGGCAAAGTTCCTTGCTCCCACCTCTGCTGAGTGCCATAAATCTGGTTTTCCTACAGTGGAAGGTGGGCATAAAATGAAAGCAGGAGTCCGATGTTTCTCTCCTTCAGCCCTCTTGGGGAAAGGACCTCTTAGCCTGGCTCAGTGCATCCTCCTCCCAGGCACCGCTGGCACGCAAGACCTGTGATCATGGTAGGGCAGGTGCTGAATAACCTCAGTAGCACAGATCCTTCTGCACTTCTGGGATTTTGGCTGCCAGGTGAAAACTTTTGAAGTCTTTCTTTCAAAATGATGGTTTGTATATTTTGTCAGTGTTCAGAAATCCAAGGGCTTTCTGGAGGGCACTCCGGGCTTGTAGCAGTGTAGGGTCTGTCCTTCCTGCCTAGATGTAGGAAAAGATTTCCCGTATCCTCACTCCAACAGAAGGAGGTGAGACCTTGCCTCCTGCTGAGCATTTACAGCTTTGTCACTTGGTGTTTCTTTTAGCTACAGGCAAGATAGCACTTTTAGTGGGCAACAACCGCTACCAGCATCACCCCAACCTCATGGCTCCCATCACGGACGTGTTTGAGCTGAGTCGTCTTCTGGAGCAGCTGGGCTTCCAGGTTGTCTCCCTTCTGGATCTGAACAAGGCTGAGATGGTGACAGCGGTCAGTCGGTTCCTGCAGCTCCTGGGGAAGGGAGTCTATGGTAAGGCAAAGCCAGCCCAGCTACCTGCCAGTGCTGAGCAGGCAGCAGCCGACGTGCAGGTAGCAGCGGTTGATGCCAGGGAGGAGCAGGCATTTGGCAATTTTCTGAACAGCTGTTGAATTAAAAGAGAAGAAACTGAACTTTGCTTTGGAGGGGACAAGGGAGACTTGCAGTACGGTCTGCAGTGGTGCCAGGCTTGGCAGAATTCCCTAGATAAATGCCGTTCAGTTTTGGCCAGGTTACAGGCAGGCAAAGTAGGTGTTTGTCCATCACGTGGCTCACCTCCAACTCCAACAACATGGTCTCATGCTGAGGTTTTGGGGAGCCAGCACTTCTGATGGCAAATGGGAAAATGGGAGAAGGTGTTTTGATTTTGCCTTAGATGACAGAATTGAGGAGATTGACTGTTGATTGCCCCCACCACTCTCCTTTGTGAGGAGGGGAGCTCCTTCTGAGCTGTGACGGCTACAGCTGGCCATGATGTCCTTGTTTCTCTTTCCTGATGGTCTAATTTGGGCCTCTGACAGTCTTTTTGCAGAAAGCATTCCCACGCGCAGATGGCTTTGAGGTTGGGCTTTGAGCTTATTGCACACTGTTCTCAGCAGGAAGCATTCCTCAAACACAAAACCAACCAGCAGATCTTGTGGGTCTTAAAGCAGGTGTTCAGACTTGCTGGTGAAAGTAGCTTCTTTGGGGTTTCTGAGATTCTCTCAGCCCAACAGATACCCTGAAAACACCTTGCTGATGTTTTTTTTGCTTCCAAACCTCAGCATGAGGCTTATCTTCACTGCCCTCCCAGCTGCATGGCGTACCAGGGCACTCAGACAGTGAAAATCAGCGTAAGCCAATTCCAGCCCAGCACTCAGCATGAGGTTTGGAGTTTGTGCAATGGATAGGGACATGGCCACAAGTGAAATGCTGCAAAGCCACCTCATTCCAGGAAGCACTGCCTCACTTGGGGAGGCTGAGCTGGCAGGGGAGGGCAGTACATGGTTGTCGCCACTCCGGCCAAGCACGTCATCTGATGACAGCATATTCCTATGACTTCACTTGCAGCTTCCTTTTGTGGTTGCTCTCTGAAATCCCCTTGCATCTCAGGCTTTACCTCCTTTCCCAGGCCAGAGTCATCCCTGGGGGCTGCTATGCTTTTCCCACAGTGCTGCCATTTCTACCCTCTATCTGTGGTGTGTGAGGACCAAATGGCATTTTATCCATGGCACATCCCTTGTTTTTGTAAGCATTGGAGAGAAAAAAGATTTGAAAATGGCAAACCTTTAATGCTATCATGCCTTATTTAAACTTCTAGTGCTTTTCTGCATTCATGGCTGCTGATCCTTCCTGGCAAAATTGATTTTGTGCACTGGCAGGGAAAACATTAACAGCTGAGTTACTGAACCTTGATAAGCTTCAAGTGTTTGCTAGGCATAGCCTGCTCCGGATGGTGGTTTTCTTTACAGCTTTCTAAGCTGAGTGGTTTACTATTATTTGGAGGCAGTGAACCCCAGCACAGGCTGGTCCCAGCAGCATGATTGAGTTCAGGACTCTTGCCATAATTGGTGGCATCCAGACTTAATGGTGGGGCGTTGGGTCAGTCTGCCTGCTGATTGCCCCATCTGAAGTGTGGTGCCTCTCGGTGTGATCTATCTTCCAGCATTTCTTCAACTGTTTTCCTTACATAGAATTAAAAGAACCAGGTGGAGTATAAATCATTGAAATTAACTTGTCTTGTTAGTAAAAACGCATTTAGAAGAAGCTAACAACTCCTCCTAAACCTTATGTATCAATTTTTCAAGGCACTCGCTCCAGGATAAACATCTCAAACTGACTGAGAGGTTTAAGATTCACTTAAGTCATATGCATGGGAAGATAGTGGTGAGACAGCAGCTCCAGGAACAACATAGGCAGCCTGTTAAAACCACAAAGACTCCAGGGGTGCCTGTGATAGCCAGTCCTGTACATCCATGTGTGTGTGTCAGACATGCACCTGCACAGAGGCATCCTGGTGCTTCTACCTGGTTTTTCTTGCTCAAGGAACCTGGAGATGCCATCTCCTGCATAGCAACCACCACAGCTGAAGTCAAGAGAGCTTTGTGTGGACATACAGAGCGAAGCAAGGAGCTAGGAGGAGAGGGCTGACTGGTGAAAGACTATCACTGGGCTGAAGTGAGAGGCTGTGGTCTAACACAGACCCACCTGTCAGCAAGCCCGAGAAGTGAGGCTGGCTGTCTTCTGAAGTTTAACTCCAGCAGCAGAGATGCTGGGGCATTCATGCATCTTTCTGCTGGTGCAGATCAAAAGAGAGGACGTAGCCATGTGGGTTAGTGTTTGAGCACGGTGTTTGTTGTTGCTTCTAGAGTTTTATTTAGCTTCAGGATGCTGATAAGAGCTGAAGAAGATGTGCCTGACCTCCCTAACCCTCTTTCTTATCGCAGGACTCTCTGGATGGCTGGCCCTCCCTTGCGTGTTCTTACTGACCTGTCTGTGATTTACACTCCTACAGGGTTTGGTGGGAAGGGACTTTGGAGTCATCAACATGAGGTCAGGGTTGGCTGTGGCTCTCCTTATCAGGTCTTGAGGACTTCCAGGCATGGAGTCACTGACTTATCCACCTGCCTGTCCCAAGCTGCACCACTCTCCAGGGAAGTCTTTCCTCCTGTCGAACATGACCCTCCATGGATTGGTGTTTGTTGCCCCATGTTGTATGGTCCATGCCAACAAGGAGAGTTGGGCTTTGTTGTCTCTGTAACTGCCCCTCCAGGAACTGTAGGCTGTTATTAGACCTTCCTCCACCTCCACGTCTCCAGACCATCCCAGCCCAGCTCCTTCCCCCTCTCCTCCCAGGCCCTGGGCCCCAACATATTGGTAGCCTCTGCTGGCCTTTTTCGAGCTTCTTCACCTTCCTTCTGAACTGAGGTCCCTAAAACTGGACACAGGATCTAAGTGGGGTCTACTCAGGTCCAAGGAGAGTGGTGACAGCTCTCCTGGTGATCCTGCATCTCCTAGTGTAGCTCTGCCACCAGTCAATTCTGGCTCATCTTCAGCATGGTGTCCTGCTGTGACCCTAGGCCCTTATCTCCAGGCTTACTGCTCAACCAGTACTCAGCCCCAGCCAAAATGCTGCCTGGGTTTATCTGCCCCAGTGCAGGACTTTGTCCTTCTTATTATTGAACCTTCTCTGAGATTTCTCAAGCCCAGAGCAAAAACTGGCTTTGTTTTCGGGCACAGAAACATTGTATGGCTGCACATTCAAGGTGATCCAAAGGCTTCTCTAATTCACCATATGGAGGTGGTGGCTCATCTGGCTGCTTTTCCTCCAGATCTCCTCTTAGAAAAGCTGCAGAGAATTTTTGAAGGCCCCAAACATCACTTGAGTGGTCTAATTATGCAACCCTCAGGCGAATGAGGAATCTCCCCGGATGTTATTTCAAGCATCCTAAAAAGTCCCGAGTCAAAAAAATAATGTCATAAGTGCAACGAGAGCAGAAAGTTGCGACTGAAATACTAGGAATATGCCGTCATGCCTTAATTAAGACACATACTGACATTTCCTCTATTATAAGCAGTGCCTGGAGCTTCCCCTTTTTAATTTGGTACTCGGAAGCTTGTCTCTGATTTGCAGTTTTGACTCACAAGATGTGGGAAGAGCATTGAAATGTTAGATCAGAATAAAAAAACCCTTTGCTTCTCTAGGCAAATTGTTGACTTTCCTGTTCAGGAGGAGAGATTAAGTCCAGGAGAGGTTTGCAAAGTTGCTCAGCTGACGTGAAACTCATGTCTTTTTTGATTTGAACGTGAGTCTTTGTGATTTATATAGCGTGGGGAGGACTTGGCGGTGCATTCAGGGTGCACAAAAAGACCTCATAAGTTAGAAGATTTAATGATTGAATCATTCTTTGTGGGCTTTTGTGTAATATTTCAGTTTTTTCCAAGTGTCAGTGATGCTGCCTGGTAACAGATGTCATCACCTCCCTTTCACGTACAGGAGGAGAGGCAGAGGGATGAAAGCCATCAGTGCTCAATGACTTGAGGGGCCAAACCTGAAGTGTCTGCATCTGATTTTTCCAGGCAGCTTCCTGTTTTATACTCTTTTATAGTCTCAGGAGGGTTTTGTGGCTTTGATTTGCAAGTTATGAAAGTTTAAAACTTCTGCAAATCAGAGCTCACTGTCTTTGGCTGGTGATCCACAAAAAGAGGAACCCAAACCTTGTGGACACCTGTTAAAACAGCCATTTGAGTAACTTTCCATCATCCCCTGAGAATGGAAACCAAAGGTGACTTGAAGCCTTTTTTACTAGGAGATCATGCTTTCCATCCTCCATACGATGAGATCATGCTTTCAGTCCTTCAGCTCCCGCCCCATTCACTGCATCCCTTGCAGCATCAGAGATCAAAGCAAGCGTCCTGCGAACTACAGGGCCAGAAACAGTAGAGGGAAAATAGACGAGAGGTTATTCGATGAAGTGTGGGCTTTGGCAGCAAATCTGACTGAAGAATTTCTCCTGCTTTTGCGTCTTAGCCACTTGTTCCCATTTCTGACCTCTTGTGCTTCACTGTCCCTCAGTTGCGGTAGTGCAACTGTTTGCGTCACCTTGCAGAGCTATTTTTAACCCATTTCAGTTCCCTGAGTTGGCTTTCACCAGCATCCCCCAAGCAATTGCATCACTGCTGGGAAGGGGTAGCCAGCCACCGTGCAGTTTCATTTCAGGAGGCTACAGCCCACATGGGGATCCGTGTGCAGAATGAAAGCCCTTTGTTGAACACAGGGGTCAAAGAGAAGCATCGGCTTGGGCCATGCCAAGCTCCTCAGCACTGGCTTTCCAAGCTGGATATCCCCATGTTGCCATCTCTTGTGAAAGCAGAAACCTTTAATAAGTTTTTTCATGTGCTTAGGAGTAAAACTAAAAACCAAAATTCTTGTTGGGTATTGGACTTCCCACCAACACCTGGATGAGTCTGACTCCTCTCCCGCCTTATGAGGCGGGTATCTGGTCTGAGGTTGTTGAAGCATGTGGTCCACATGTTCTGGACATCTGGAGAACTCATCTCTCTCTGTCTCTATCTCATTTTTCACCAGCTTATAGATGTTTAAATACAGGCAGACCTTTAAAATCTGGAGAGTGTTTCCCATCACCTAATCCATTGCTAGTCTCTCCTCCAGAAATAGTAAGCTGAGGAGCTTCTCATTTAAAAGGCTGTTATTGTATTTTTCATCATGGTAAAATACTTTGTCTGTTGTCATATTCTTGCAAAGAGCTGATGATTAACCAAAACTTTGTGCAAAAGTCGTATTCAGCCTGGCAGATGCTGACCTTGGGTGTTGTAGCACAGATGGTTACAGAACCGTGTAAACCCAGCGACTTTGGGATCTCCTGACAAACAGTTCAGGGCTGCTTCCAACTCTGCTGAAGGGAATGGACTGGAAAAAAGTCAAAATTGTGAGGTCAACATAGCTCCAGTTTCATAGGTGCTACTGGTCTAGGTCTGCCCTGCACCAGTATCCCTTCAGGACAGGAGGTGGGACATGGCCATGGTAGCTGGTTACAGACCTGCAGGTTCGCATCGTGACTCATCCTCTTCTCTCTTGGTTCTCAGCTATATTCTACTACGCTGGGCACGGGTACGAACATTCAGGGAGGAACTACATGGTCCCTGTTGATGCTCCACAACCCTACGCCCCTGAGAACTGCATCAGTGTGCAAAGGATCCTCCAGAAGATGCAGCAGCAGCAGACGGCCCTGAACCTCATCCTGCTGGACACCTGCAGGAAATGGTAGGGTGCGCTGTCCCCTTCCTTGCCCGGGATGGGCAGAGCATGATGTTTCAAGGGGTCGGGGGAAACAGCTGCCAGCCTCAGCCCCTGCTTCAGCAGTGAGCTTCTACACAACCACATGGGGTGTTTCCATGGATTGCTGGGGCCACATCCCCTGTTGTGCTGCTGAGCCCAGGCCTCTGTCAAAGTTTATCGGCCTGTTTCATAAAATCAGCAAGACTGTCAGGTCTTGCAGGATGTCCTGAGAAGACCAGTCAGTCACGTATTTGGTGCAGAGAGCATCAGGTGCCGCCTGAGATCTGCTGGAGAGAAGGGGCTGGAGACCCTCCCTTGATTTTTTCAGGGTGAAGAAGCCTGGCAAATACAGGCAAGTCGCCTAAAGGCTGTGGAGGGATGGCTCTGCCCTGGCATAAATTGTTGGCTGAAACTCAGCATAGGGTTTGTCTTTTTGTGTTTCAACCTGCTGCGCTGAACCACCCAACCTGGCAGGCCGTAGCAGCATCTTGCTGACCTCAGACTTTCACGATATGTGTTGCCCACATGCTCAGGCTGGGACTGTTTAGCTCACCGCTCTTCTGGCTGTGTTTTTGTTAACATCTCAGTCAGAAGAGTGCAACACAATGGGGAAAATATTTTAAGCTGTGCTACTTGGTTTTTACTGGCCTTAAATGCTTCTGAAGTGGTCATGTCTTGAAGTGGGACCCAGGCTGCTGCTGAGGTCAGAGATCAGTTCTTTCCCTCTGTCTGTGGAAAGCCCATCATCCTCTCTTGGCCTGCAGATCTCTATCCTGCAGCTCGTGGGCTGCAGAAAATTACTACTTGCCCATTTTCAGCAGAGGTACATAGACTATTCCAGTAGAAGCTGTCCTTAGTTCATTTATTTCAGTCTCCTGAGGCAGATTTACAGGTCAGAAAAGACCTGGATGGTAAATGCAGGAAAGTCTCCCTCTTCTTTCTGTGGTTCATGCACTAAGAACCAGAAAGACGACAGGGATTTTTGTACTGCTGCCCTGAAAGAGCTGCCAGCCCCTGGAAAGATGTTAAATCTTTGATACCTTTTAGCTGCAGAGGTGGGAACACTCACTTTGAATAGCTTGCAAGCTGGCTGCACTGCAACTTACCCTACTGCCACAGCTCTGAGTTGCCAGCATTGCTGGAGCTTGATGTCCCTTGATACCTGCCCTGAATGCCCTGTAGTGAAGCATCCCCTTTCTCCCTTCTTGCTCACCATTGCTGCTGAGAGCAGAGCGTGTTGCTTCCCTGCACTGTCAAATGCTCCCCCAGCACACGTGGCAGCACCTTGCTGCTCTCTCCAGCATGATACCAGGCAGGGGACGGCTTGCAGCTGAGCAGGAGCACCTGGCTGTCATGGATGCACTGGTGGAGCTGGGCTAGTATGCCTCTGGGCTGCTGGTAGCCCATCTGAGGGCAGAGTGTGATGGGGAGGTAGCATGGCGACTTGGAGGCTCCACAGGGATCGCTAATGCAAATGGTGACAATCTATGAAATAGCTTTTGAGCTGATGTCTCCTTTCTTGGTGTTGCCAGCAGTTTCTGTGCTCAGTGGAGTCTTAACGGTGCTTTGGGAAAAAGATGCAGTGTGAGATCTTCTGTGATGTTTAGGCATGGTTGTGCAGCTGTTTTTGTCTCTCCTCCCCCAAACCTCACACTTCTTTCCTCCCCTTTCCCACAGCAACCACAGCACTTAGTGCAGTAGGTGTTATCCCCAGGCTCGTGAGGGATTGCTGTAGAAGCTCTCTCCTGAGCTAATTTTTCTTGAGAAGTCATCATTTCAGCTCAGCAAAGTGTCTGGATTTCATATTTGTGTGTGTTTACACTGCTCTGTAAAACAAGGCTCCTGGGGCCCCCTTTTGCAATGTCCTTTTGGTTGGACTGATGCTGCAAGTCTGTCGACAGTTTGCTCAGCTGTACATGAATCGGGAGGAGCTGTGTCTGTGCTAAGAGGGATCTCACCCAGAGTATCTCTTCACCCCATATGTTGGCATCAGAAATGCCAAGGCAATGAGAAACACATCCCCCTTTGCCAAGTGGTAGCAGATGTTCAGCTTCAGCAGAGGAGGAACCAGGAACACAGAGCCTGTGTGTAGCCTCATACCTTTATATGCTGATTTTGGGTGGATGTGATTGCCTCTTCCAGGAATTCCCTGATTTATGAGGGTTTCTAGCATGTGCCACTCAGGACAGAAGGAGGACACCATCTCCTATCTGGGATGCAGATCAGAAACAGATTGCATGAGATGTGCTGTGTAACTGAGACTTTTTTTGGGTCTGGAGCAGGAGGGAGCGCTGCCACCTTCTCCGCTGTCAGGCTTCTCCCTGTGTTTGGTCACGGTCTGGAAATGCCGCTGCTGAAGTTTGTCTTCTGCTGGGGCAGGGGATCACAGCCAGCGTTTCCACTGCAGGCACTAGCTGGCCTTGCCGGAGCTGTGGATGCCTGCTGGTGCCATCACAAAAGGTTTGCATCAACTTGTGTCTGTGCAGCATTGGGTAGATGTCCCCAGCATGGGGACAACAGGACCATGGTTTATTTTGGGATCCCATGTCTCATTTCTCCTTGGACCTGGAATCCCAGATTTCCGCATTCATTTAGGAGCAGCTGAGGAGCAGGTAAATCTCTCTGCTCAGTGTTCATATTTAGAAGCATATCTCTTTCTCCACATTTTCTCTTCTGATCATCTTTAGAAAACTTACACAGGCCAGATGAATACTGCCATTAAACATCTCCAGACTGCACCACCAGCAGTAGGTAACATGTTGGCTGCTGGAAATACAACCATCCCTTCTGTTCTTAGCGTGCCAACTTCAGCCTCAGGAAACTGTGCTGGAATTGATTAACACAGAATAACACTGCCTCTGTTCGTAGCTCTTACCCCTGTGTGATAGGGAACAGCTCCAAGTCACTGGTGTAAACTGGAGACTGCTTGTCCCCATGCTGTTCAGTCTGGCTGCAGTCAGATGGGCAAGGCTTGGCTATTAAGTGCAGCCATGATATCTTTTTTGGTGGAAGCTCGGACTGTCACTGCAGATTTACCTGATTTTGGGAATAACAGGGTCTGTGCTCATTGAGCTGCATCTAGACCAAGGTGCTGGGACCAGTCTTGGGCTTCGAGACCTGGGTGCATGTCCTGATCCCACCTCTCAGTGAGATCTGGAGATGTATTAGCCATAGTGTGCTTTGGTTTCCTGGGGCAGATGGAGTGTGCATGGTCTGGAAGGGACCTGTGGGGTACCTCAGACCCCCAGGACAGGCAGCTGATCTGTAGCCATGCTATGTGCACACCTCTAACTTCTTTAGGGACAGTCGTCCCTTGGGCCACAGTGAACCCGTATATTCTCTGCACTGTGCTGCTGCCTGGATTTGTTAAAAACCAGCCTCAGAAGGGAGGAGGCATGGTTGCGCCCACAGCTCCAGGCTTGCTTGCAGGGCAGGGAGCAGCTCACCAGTGCAGATAGGTCAAAGCTGGCCCTATCTACTAATTTCCCTGTGGTTCGTGTTCTTCATAGGACTCCTACCTTTAGCCTCTGTTGCTGCCCAAGTAATATGGGTGGTTATATTTGACGTGAGGGTTGATCTTATTGCCATCCATAGGAGATGGACTTGGTGGAGCACATGGGCTTTGTCCCTTCCAGGCACGTGCTGATGGATGTCCTCAACACTGACTTGTGCCTTCATCTCCTCTTCCAGGTACAACCCGGAGTGTGCCCTCTCCCAGGTACAGCCACTGGAGCCCTGGGGCAATACCGTTTATGGCTACGCCACGTAAGTGCACTTTGCTATCCCCACACCATGACGCAGGACCAAATGCTGGCACAGCGATGTCTCCTCGCATCCCTTTATGCATGGTGGCTTTAGAGGCTTGAGAGGGCTTTCCTCATGTTTCCTCTGGCTCTCAGCCTCCATCTCTACTGTTTGCTGTTCAGGCACTTCTTTCCTTCCTCCTAACATCACTAGTGGCAGCCTGTGCATCAGTTACAGGTTATGCTTGAAGGTGGCATCAGTTCCTGTCATCTGTCCTTCCAGGCCTGAGCCTGATTCCCAAGGTGCCTGTGCTATGAGCAGGTCACCTGAAGCCTCCTGAGATGATGAATGTTGCTTACTGCTCCAGTGCCAGTTCCACTGGCTTTTCAACTGCTGTCACCCACCTAGGCTGGCAAAAGAGGCTGTGCTCTCCTCTCCCATTCCCCTCCACTGCTTTTTCCCATCCTGTGCCCTTCCCAACCCCTCCTGGGCCAAAACCAAGCACTTAGTGTCATTGCTTGAGGACCTAACTTGGACTCAGCCAACAGAGCCTAGATGGGGTCGGCAAGCCCTGACTCACCCCCAGGGCTTCATGCCCTTTGCAGAAAGTTAAAGATGAGTCCTTACTCTTGCAGGAGCGAAGATGCAGAAGCCTATGAGTTGCAGGACGGGGAGTTCAGCTCTGGGATCTTCATGAAGTACCTGAAGAAACATATTCTGCAAGAGAAGAAGGTTACACACATGCTGGAGGATGTGTTAGAAGGTAAGGGATGAGGTAGAAACCACTTGCTTCAGTAGCAGGGGTGAGAAGAGATAGCAGCAGAAACCAAGTGGTTCCATGCTACCCCATCCCAGCCAGCCAGCCAGCCAGCCAGCCATCCCTAAAAACCAAATCACAGGCTGTGCCCCATGTGAGCTTTTAGTAACCTGGCAGCAGTATGGAGATGTTCACGTAGGGTCTGGAAGGCAGGGAAATAAATAAGGAACCTGGAGTGACCCTTGTGCCTCCAAACTCTCTCCCCCAGACATCGGCCGCGATCCCTTGGTCACTGGGAAGCAGGTGATGGAGATCAAACATACTCTGAAGGAAGCCCGGTCCCTGACAGACCCAATCTGTCCCTTGGGAGCAGCTGCCGAGCACTGGGGACGTGGCTATGGTAAGCCATGCAGGGCGTGAGGAGGGCTACCAGTTGGGGGGGAGGAGAGGGCTGGGGGTCCCCACATGCCTCAGGGACACTGGTCTGCAAGAAGGTGTCAGCAGGACCCTCCAAGGAGCTGACGCCTCTTGGCTTTCCCTTCCAGAGCCTCTGAGCAAAATGGTGACCTTCCCCTGCGGGGCACAGGTGGAGCTCCGCTTCCACCGGCTCTTCTCCAATGTGATGTATGTGTCCGCCAAGCTGCAGCCCCCCCCGGCCCACATCACTGATGCCCGCCTCCTGCTCTGCCAGTCCACCGTGAGTCCTCTGGCTGGTCCCCTTCCCCTGAATTCCTGCTGGGCTCCTTTCCCCAGGGCAGAGTTGGGAGGGTGGTTGGGGTGAGCCCAAGGGGTCCTGAGGGCTAGGAAAGGCTGAACCCATGTGGAGAAGGATCCCCTCCTCTGCAATCCTCTCTGCAAACACCTCTTTGAGTGCTCCTTCCATGCATCAGTGCCCTGCAGACTGTCTGCCTTGCTCCTAATGTATTGCAAAAAGGATTTGATGCCAGTTTTAATGCCTTTAACCAGTTGCCCCTCAGACTGATTTCTGGCCTGCCTGATTAAATTATTGCATCTAATCTGATTGAGGTGAAGAGCCTTTCTGTTTTCCGTGTTTGGAAGCAGATCTGGCTTTTTGAATCATGCCTTCTTAGCCCACTGTGCTAATATGTCTTAATGCAACTATATAGTTCTTCCCTGTTAAGCCGTACCAGCTTCCTTGTACCCTTTCTCACACCTTTCCTAACAGACCACGTGCCCAGCATGGTCTTTTCTGGTGGTCTCCATGCCACCTCTAAGGATTTAATTTGCTGCTCCTTTTTGCTAACCATCTTCCTCATTTTCTGTAGTCTTTTTGCTGAAGCATAGCGTGACTGTGGTGGATTTTTCAGCCCTTGTTGCTCATGGAGGGTCGCTGCCCCTAAGTACGTTGTGGTCACTGATGCAGCACGGTGCGTCCAGTGAGAGGTTTGGAGTCTGATCCTGCCCATTACCAAGCCGGAACATCGTTTCCCCTCGTGAGCTCCCTAAGCACGCGTGAAAATTGTGTGTGTGTGTGTGTCTGCATGTGTTTGTGTGCATCCACCCAACATCAGCGATTGTAGGGAAAGGGAGACTCAGCTTCTTGCTCCTGTGTCTGGAGCTGTCTCAAGAGAGATTGGGGAGGCCAAAAAGGGACCCCAGTATAGACAGGGTAGTGGGATCCCCATCCCTATCCTGCTGCACGGCAGTGCTAGCTCACACTGACCTCCAGTGGTGTCTGCTGACATGGCAGCACATCCACCAGATTGCAATTCATCTGCCCCCCCCCCGCCGTTAGACATCCACAGCGAAGCCACCCACTCTCTCCTGTGGGACCACAGAGAGATGCATGGGTGTCTGCAGGAAGGCACCTGGCTCCTTTCAGGATGTGGCCAAGCTGGCTGCATCCTCACTGTGCCAGTCCTCCTCAGGGATGCTGAGGGGAGCTGGGGGACCATCTGAGCCACTCTTGCATTGCTGAGATGCAGGAGCTGGAGGCTGAAGTCCAACAAAAACAGAATCGATATGGGGTGCATTTTGTAAGCCCTGGGGAATGAACCCAGGGAGCTGTTTGGTTGAGGAAATGGTAGTTTTCCCACATTCTACTTATCAAACTGACTTAAGCAAAGAGCCTGGGCTTGCTGTAGGGCTTGCCAGAGATAATTATGATGGGATTTTCTAGCATTGATCCATTTTATTTAGTTGTCCAGTGGTAGTGTTCTCTCCCATCCTGTGTCTTGACAGGCTTGCATTTTTACTTGACAAGCACTGTCTTCAGAGAGAGAATCTGCTCTAGGACATATGTAGAAAAGAATGATGCTGAGAGCTAAGACATTCCCATTTTTTTGCTCTGTACTGTTTAAATGCTGACTTTTTTTAAACTTTTATGTTGGATCTCCTTGTTTTCAAGCCACTGGATCTGGAGCTGTTTGACCTAATGGGCTCTGCAGTCACCCTTTCCCCAATTTATTTAGAATATCTGAAACTCTGAGCCAGCCAAAACTTTGGCCTTGCCTATCCTGGGCATCATCTTCATTAAAAATGCATTCCACCCTGGGGAAATATTTATAAATAATAATGAATTGGCGAAAAAAAATTAATTTAGAAAATGCTTTTCTCCATTTCCTGACTTCTACACAGTCAGAAATGATAAAGGAGACTAATGGAAGGAACTACTTGCCTGCATGCGCTGTAATTAGATTGTGGAAGTCATTGGCACAGGAGGCTATCGAGGCTGGGAATTTAGCAGAGTGCAGATACTTGTGGGTAAGGAGTTGCTGTTACCCGAGGGGCTTTGAATCTCACGTGTTGGGGCTTCAGTTGATCCCTCGAGATTAGATCGCTTCTTGCCCAGGTGAATGTCTTGAAGGTCACTAGGCTGGAGAGCTGTGTTCCTGTGGGCATGGCCATGGAGAGATGAGCGGTCCAGGAGAGCTGGTGGATTTTCAAGGATCCTGATGAACAGGGACTCAACCAAAGGTGGAAGGAGGCCTTCATGGACATGCAGGGGGCTCCTAACTGAGCTCACACATGAAAAGGAGGTTTGCAAGAGGTGGAAGCAAGGGCAGGTGACGTAGGAGGGCTATAGAGACATGGTTCAAGCATGTAGGCATGGGGTTAGCAAAGCCAAAGCCCATCTGGAACTGAATCTGGTGGCAACAAAAAGGGCTTCTACAAGTATATCAGCAACAAAGGGAAAGCAGGAGGAAATACGGGCCCACTGCTAAATGGGGCAGGGTGCCTAGTGACACAGGGCATAGAAAAGGCTGAGGTACTTGATGCCTTCTTCACCTCGGTCTTTACTGGTCAGACCAGCCTTCAGGACTCCCAGACCCCTGAGACTAGGGGGAAGGTCTTTGAGCAAGGAAGACTTAAACCTGGTGACGAGGACCAGGTCAGGGAGCACTTAAACAAACTCGACGTTCACAAATCGATGGGACCTGACAGATTGCACCCCTGACTGCTGAGGGAGCTGGCAATGAGACTGCAAGGCCACTCCCCACTGGCTCATGGTCGTCTTCCTGAGGCCTGGAACAAAGCCAGTGTCACTCCTGCCTTCCAGAAGGGCAAGAGCAAAGATCTGGGGGACTACAGGCTGGTCAACCTCACCTTGATCCCTGGGAAGGTGATGGAGCCAATAATCCATGAAGCCATTTCCAAACACAGCAAGGACAAGAAGATGGCTGGGAGCAGTCAGCATAGATTACAGAGGGGAAGCCTGATAACCTGATAGCCTTCTGCATTGAAATGACTAGCTTGGTGGGTGAGGGGAGAGAGTGAATATTGTTTGTCTTGATTTAGCAAGGCTTTTGACACTCTCTCCTCTAACATCCTCATAGACAAGCTGATGAGGTAGCAGTCCAGATAAGCGGATGGTGAAGTGGATTGAAAACTGACTCAACTGCCAGGCTCAAAAGGTTGTGATCAATGGCATGAAGTCCAGCTAGAGGCCACTAATGGGGAGCCCCAGGCATCAGTACTGGGGCCAATACTGGTTTACATCTTCATTAATGATCTGGATGATGGGGCAGAGCATACCCTCAGCAAGCTTGCTGCTCACACAAAACTGGGAGGAGTGGCTGATGCACCAGAGGGTTGTGCTGACATCCAGAGGGACATGGACAGGCTGGAGAAATGGGCCAACAGGAATCTTATGAAGTTCAGCAAGGGGAAGTGCAAAGTCCTGCATCTGAGAAGGAATAACCCCATGTACAGGCACAGCTGGTAGTCAACAGGCTGGAAATCAACTTGGCAGAAAAGGTCCTCAGGGTCCTGGTAGACACCAAGCTGACCATGAGCCAGCGATGTGCCTGCACAGTAAAGAAGGCAAATGGGATCTTGGGCTGCGTTAGGGGGAGCATTGCCAGCAAGTTGAGAGAGGTGATCCTTCCCCTCTACTCAGCACGGGTGAGGCCACATCTTGAGACCCATGTCCAGTTCTGGGCTCCTCAGTAAAAGAGAGATATGGACATACTGGAAAGAGTCCAGCAAAGGGCCACGAAAATGACAAAGGGGCTGAAGCATCTCTCCTATGAGGAAAGACTGAGAGAGCTGGGACTGTTCATCCTGGAGAAGAGAAGGCTCAGGAGGATCTCATCAATGTATCTAAGTACCTTGCAGGGAGGGTGCAAAGAGGATGGAGCCAGGCACGGTGGTCCTCAGTGCCAGGAGCAGAGGCAATGGGCACAAACTGAAACACAGGAAATTCCATTTAAAACTAAGAGAAAACTTTCCTTCTCTGAGGGTGATTGAATATGTTGTTGCTTTTGGAAAACCAGGGCTGTGGGACTGTTTTTTATTTTCACTAATGACCTCGGTGATGTGCCACGCTATGTACTTATTAAATACACAGATGCCATAGCACTAGGCATGTCTGCAAGGTGGTAAAAGGCAGGGTTAGATTTTAGAAGGATTTTGATAAAATGGAGATGCAATCTGAGGCCAGGGCTGTTACTCAGCAGATGCAAATTCCTGCATATGGGCAGGAATAAGCAGTAACGTAAGCATGGGATGGGAAACAAGTGGGATACTGGTTCTGGTCAAAGTCTACAACAGCTGGTGCAACAAAAGCAGGGCAGAAAACGCTGCCAAGGTTGTAAACAAGAGCTCCGAGATTTGTGTGAGATCCTCTCTGGCTCTCCTTGCTGTTGCTGAGGCTGGAGCACTGGGTGCAGTTTTGGGTCCATGCTTCATGGAAAAAAGTGTGCCAACTAAAGTGCATCCGAAGTAATAAAAGGAAGGAGCAAGAGAATTGTGATTTAGGCAGGAAAAGCAAAAATTGGTGGATAGGGGGCCTTCAAATATATAAAAAGTTGTTGCCAACTTGGAAGGAAGTCATGGTTTGATTTGCAGTAAGGAAGATCCAGGGTGGACATGACATTTTAATGGTAAAAAGAGTGAATGTCTGGGAGGGGTTTTGCCTAAGGGTGTTGTAGAACCACCACCCATGTGGACCGCTTAGAGCATGTATTGCTCTCTACAGCTACCTGAAAGGAGGTTGTAGTGAGGTGCGTACTGGTCTCTTCTGTCAGGTAACTAGTGATAGGACGAGAAGAAATGGCCTCAAGTTGCTCCAGGGGAGGTTGAGATTGGATATGAGAAAAAATTTCTATACTGACAGGGTTGTCAGGCATTGGAACAGGCTGCCCAGGGAAGTAGTGGAGTCACCATGCCTGGAGGTGTTCAAAAAACGCGTAGACGTGGCACTTCAGGACATGGTTTAGTGGGCATGGTGGTGTTGGATTGATGTTTGGACTCAATGATCTTAAAGATCTTTTCCAACCTAAGCAATTCTATGATTCTGTGTGGATATCCATCTGTCAGGCATGACATGTGTCACCAAATCTGTGTTGTTTGGGCCACATGATGCCTTTGGTCCCTTCTCCTTTAGGGTCCATATCCCGGTGGTGAGGGTCCTAGCCTCAGGAATAGGACGGAGGCTCAACCTTGCATGCAGAAGAAGATCAGCAGTACATGGCTGGCTGTCGAATCCCAAATCATTTAATGATGCAGTCATTTAATCAGTTAATCTCTTGGGCTGCTGGGAGATTGTCCCTGCATGGATGCTGAAGGGACTTTGGGCATTTCCCCACAGTGCTGAGCATTTGCTCCTTTGCTTCAGGATGGCCCCAGGTCTGTGCCAGAGAGAAATGGCACATCTATTTTGGATGTTAAATGCTTAGGACTGGCTTTATCCCACTCGGGGAGGCTGTGTGGTTCACCCCATCCAAACTTGCTGATGCTTCTTGGCTTTTCATGAGCTGTGGTTTAACCTGGGATGGGATATTGTTATATTTGTGCTAGTCACGCCTGTAGTACACTGGGTATTTCTTAGGCTGAAAAAAAAGGTCTACCCAACCTCAGGGGGCTCAAAATTGCAGAGCAATAAACAGAAGTTTGAGAGAAGAGTCCAGTGCATTAGCACAGATCTGAGCATCCCTGCCCTGCTAAAGTAAACCCAATTGTGATGTTAACCACTGAAGATTCACAGTGTCTGCAAAGGCTGCTAACACAATTGCAAAAGCAGGCACTTAGAGGTCATCCGATCCAGAGCACATCCATGCCTGCAAGGAGACAAAAGGGAATGTGGCCCAACCCCAGCTCTGACAGGCTGATGGATCCCCAGAGGAGCCACTCTTGGAGAGGTCGCAGGAGGGGGGATGCACCAGGGGAAGGCAGGACTGCAGAAGTCAAAAGACATGTGTGGAAACAGCAATGAGGCAGCTACAGAGAAGGTTGGAGGAGAGCACTATGGCTTCATCAGATATGGGGAAGAGAGGGGACTAGTGATGTAGTGACTATGAGGACTTCTGGCCATGGACCGTTTTCCTCCTAGTGACTAGGATGTCATGGATATTACAAGTCTAGCAGGGTTCAGAAATAACTTTGACACCTTCATAAGAGTCCACAAAGGCTATTGAACACACAGACACCACCTTTGACTCGAAAAGTCGCTGATTTTCCCATCGCAGGAGGCTGGTAGGGTAGGCTCACCCTGGGCAGGGCTGGCAGCACGCACGTCCTGTCCCTTCTTAAGCATGTGCTGGAGGATGGACCTGGCTGGACGCAGTAAAGCCACTCTGCTCCTTTTTGCAGTCCTCCTGCTGAAGCCCTGCATTAGCAGCATCCAGGCTGATCTGTGTTGTGCCTCTCTCTTTGGTCTCCAGGTTTAGTTTAACCTGGGTGCTGGGCTTAGCGTAGGAGTGACGGGTACCTGATGCAAAGAGGCAGGGAAGGAGAGAGCAAGAGAGGGCAGTGTTCATTTGCAGAAGGCACTCTGTGTTGCAGCCTGTCTCCTGTTTCAGGCACAGTTCAGGCTGGTGGAAGGAACTACGACAAGGCTCCCTGAGCAGGAGAGCTGCTCCATCCCCATTTGAACTGTGTCCTTCCCTTGTTGGCACACCCATCTCCCTTTCTGCCAGCTCCGTTGACTGCCCTAAGCTCCCTCCAGTAATGAGTTGCCAAGTGTGGAGTTGGGGTTTGCCTTTGCTTTGTACAGAGATAAACGATATTTCTTCAGCCTACCTCCAGTGGACCTGCTGGATCAGCAATGGTGTTTACTCCTGTTCTGCCAGCCTTGCAAGCAGGGGTGACCCTGATGCCTGCAGATCCCAGCCAGTATTTGGGATCCAACATTTTAGCTTCTACTCCCAATATTCTCCTGGCGAGAAACAAATTGCTTTGGCTGTTTGCAGGCAGCAGTTTGGGAAAGGTCTGTAAAGGCTAGCAAGAGCTCCCAGGGCTTCTCTAACCTCTGCCTCCCTGCAGTGTCTTAACAGCCTCCTTCATCAGCATGCCCAGTGCAACTTCTCTTGCCAATGGCGAGAAAGTTTTGCAAGGATCAAACCCTCCTCACATACCACCGGCTTTATCTGTGGCTGCAGTAAGCCTGCCCAGGCTGCTCAGCTCCCACAGCCAAAGCCAGGCCAGGACATCCTAGTGTTGGCCAAGCCAGGCCAGCAGGATCACACCGTGGTAGTTACCAGAGCCAGCTGGCAGAGGAAAGTGCCTTCTCATGGAAGGGACTGGTGGACTGTGGGCTGTTACCCATCCTAGAGGCCAAATCCAAAGCGAGATGCTATTTCATAAGGCCCTTATTCCCTTGTCCCTTCTTGTGCTATTAGTGGCTCCAAGATACAATCATTACTGAAGAGGATCTCTTAGAGACAGGGCTGTTTTGGATAAATTTGGGTGATTCAGCAAGAGTTGACAGTTCTGTAGATGGTGGGGGGCTAACTCGGCACCTGGCGCAACTCAAGAGCTTCTTCCAGCTATGCCCTCGGAAAACTTGCTCCCTCCTTGACACACTGCTTACACTACAAGTGGTCGTGGTACCGGCTGTTGCTACTATCTGCTCTGCTGCAAGTCCCATTATACCACAGTCTTCCTGGTAGATGCACTCAAGGGATGTTTAGCTAGGTCTTCTCATTGATATGCACAAGGCTAGCATGTAAAATCTCTGTATTTCTGTTGCTTGCACTCTGTAGTACTTTGCTTAGGGTATGCAGCATTTCCACCAGCCAAAGTGTGAAGGGCACAGGCCAGCCCTGGGCACTGCTGTGTGCAGAGAAGCAGCATGTTTGATAGGCAGTTGCGCCTCCATGCCCAGGCTGATGCTGAAATTTCCTTGCATTTCCTCTTGTTTTCCTGACCCAGGAGATGGACGACGTGGCCACCCTGAAAGAGAGCCGCCTGGACCAAGTGGAGTCTCTGCTTGCCTCTGTGTACAAGCGGGAGGAGCTGGACTGCATCTTCCAGCTCTGTGGACTACAGAAAATTCAGGTAGAGAGCTGCCAGGTGCAAATCTCCATGGTTTTCCTGCACCCTCACGTAACTGGCACTCCCCATCCCCACTGGCTCGAGCTGGATGTGCCTCTCTGTATGTCTCGTGACTCCATGCGGACAATGCCTGGCATGCCTGTGTCAGTGTAACATCCAGATCAATGTTAGAGGAGCTTGTTGATCTTCAAGGCACAAAAGCTATCGTCTCTCTTGGTTTGCTCTGTTTTTCTGTGCTGCCTGGCCAGGGAGGCTGTTCTTTGCCTATATCAGCCTAGGGGAGGTCAGACTAGCCCAAATATTGCAGATGAAGGATGTCTCACTAGGCTGTGTGCTTGCCTGAGAGATGGGCTCACAGGCTGCCCAGGGTCTCAAGCAGTGAGAGGGTTTATCCCCTGCCATCAGGGTGACACTACAAAGCCTGATCCAAGCTATGCCTCTTTGGCCCACTTCAAAAGACCCTCGAACTATTCAAAGACCACGAGAGACGCAGAATTGCTTGTCCCCTGGCTTGTCTCTTCCAGCAGATTCTGCCTCTCCAAATAGCAGTGTGCACCTTGTTTCTCATCTGATTTTTTTTTTTTTTTCCCCTCTAACACCCAGCCAGTGGATCTTGCCAGCTGCTTATCTGCTCTGCTCCATGCAGGCTCACACTGAACATTGCTCTCGAGCTGCTGCCTGGATCTGCCTACAACAAGCTCCGTTTGCTAAGTGCGTGACGTGTCTCAGCATATGGCAGCTCTTTCAGTCCTTGATTGTTCCTGGAGCTCTTTTCTGAACCCTTCCCAAGCGTTCAGCATCGCTTTTAAGTGTAGACATGAGACCTGGACCCTGCATTGCCTGCCAAAATCTTCTTGCTCCATTATACATCTCCCTACTTTGTAGAGCCAGGCGTCTCAGGCACAGCCCCATGCTAGGGATTCACGTTCAGGGATTTGGCTGCCATGACTATGGTTATTTTCTGATTTCTTCACCATCTTTTTAAAAATCTAAAATAGTGCTAGGCTGTGAATGGATCCCTGTGGAGCGCTGCTGTTTAAAACTATTGGCTTTTACTGTGTGATGTGTGTTTTATTTAAGTAGTTCATATCCCGTCCTTTGCATGCTTTCCTCTCGCATGTGCAGCAGTCCTGTACCATTGCCAGGATGGATGTCATGCCTTTCCTCGCGTGGGTGCAGCTTGCCTGGGTGCAGTTCCTCTCCCCTCCTGCTCCCCTGTGCCAGCATCCTGGGGGTGAGGCTCTCAGTCACAGTGCCCTGACCGGGCTGATGAGATCTCAAGTGAGGTGGTCTGATTTCAGGAGAAGTCCTGAAATCCAGAAACCATGGCTGAAGCCCACAAATGTCATGAGAGTATGTAACAGCTCATTTTCTCTGGCAGTAGCATTGCTCCATCACGCCACAGCATGGGGCTGTGAGCCTGCAGAACAGCCAGCCAAGTCTGTCGTTTTTGTTGACGGTGGCAACAACAAAAAAGCTCTGCTTCAAGTCTTTGACTCCAATTCACTTTGCATCCTTTGCTCTCCCCTTCCAGACGGACGTGGTCCTGCAGTTGGATTTGCATTACACCCGGCTGAGCACAAAGCAGAGGACTTGTGAAAGCCTGCAAACAACCCTCCAGAAATCTCTGCTAGGGCAGTTTTTCAGCCAGAGGAATTACTCCCAGCCAAACTACCAGAGAACTCCTGCCTGTTCAGGCAGCGTGTGCCTCCAGGATGCGTTGGTGCTGAGCACAGACCCGAAGGGGCAAGCATCTCTGAGGACAGGCTCTGGCCACAGCTTGCCCAGCAACAACCCCTCCAACTCCAGTAGTGAGCCAGAGGAGAATGATGAGAGCGACCTGAGCGAGCTGTGCTCAGCACTGCTCCGGGCTGGCCCAGGACAGGACTACCCCTGAGCCCGTGGGCTGGCATGCTGAGCCTTGGGAACTGCTATTTTTAATAGAGGCAACAGTTATTTGAGTGCTAAATACATCAGAATCCATCAGCTGCTTTCCAGCCTTGGCGATCACACTGTTCAAATGAGGCCAAAGGCTGCTTTTTTGGAAAGACTTCTCCCATCTGCACCCTGTGGCGCACGGGGCCTGAAGCCCACTGGAAATAACCCCTGTCCCGTGGGAGCGGTAGGGATCAGCAAGGAGTTGTCATTGTGTCTGGCGGAGGACAGGGCCACCCAACAAGTCATAACATTGCCAGGCAAACCCCAAAGTTGCTTGAAGTCAAGGGCACCGGCTGATGTTTTCTGAGAATTAGGCTTTGCCTGAAAGCAAACATTACGGCATTAAATGCGATGAGAAACCCATAAACACTACAGACCCATGCTACAGCAGCGACACAGCCTCAAAACCCAACTACAACTGCTGACTCTCACCGCACTTGTGCAAGGGACACAAGGCTTGACCAAGGGAGTCAAATGAAACTGTGTGAATGTATAAGCTCTCCCCTGGGGTCGCGGCATGGTTTTCTTTCCTTGCCAGTCCTGCCTGTGTCAAAGCAGGTTTTAAGTTATGCATTTATGTATTTCTAAAGAATGTATTTATACCTGGGGCAAGACTATTGCTTGCCAGGAAAAGGAAGGTCAGATGTTCCGTCAAGTGTGTGTTTACAATGGAGGCTGGTTTTCTATCAGTAGTTGCCACTGGGCAGGTACACTTACATGTGCCCCTTCTAGCATGGTACACAGGGGCATTAAAGGGTGTGAAGTCCTGTGCAGTCTTGAGTTTCTCTCAGATGCAGAATTTCCTACGTGTGAGAGATGGAAAACACCAAGATGGAGAAGGAAGAACCTCAAAAAATGTTATTATTAGTGCAAATTTTTTTTTATTAGGTGCCTGTCTGTGCATTCACTGTGGGCAACCTCAAGCACTACCTTTCCTGGAGAACCAGCTGTCCAGAGAGAGCCACAGGTGAGCAGGGCCCAAAGGACAACCTGAGTGGGCGCAGTCCCCTCCCTGCCTGCTTCTCTAGTATTTGTTCGTTAAAGGTTTCAGCATAGCTCCAGGTGATTGCTCAGCAAGAGCCTGGGAGGGTGATCAAATAGTTTTAACAGGGACCAATGACCCCAATGAATTGTGGGATCTCCATCCTTAGAGGACAGTTCACTGTGGACCAGAGAAGGTGCTGATGAACTGATCCAAGCTGGTGGGGTGCTGGACCTGAGACCACCAGAGGTCCCTTCTGGCTGTTGTGGTCCTGTGAAAGAAAGAACTTGGAGTTCAGAGACTTCTTGAGAGGTCAAGGATGGTGGGGTAGGGAGAGTGCCCAAGCTCTGTCCTCTGTCTTGGTCTAAAAAAGGAATGGAGAGAACATTTTCTAAGTTTTGGTTCTCCTTCAGCAGTAAAGATACTTGTCTATGGTGTCTGTTGCAGCATGGAAAAATGTGAAATGTTCCTTTCAGATAAACCATCCTACAAGTGCTGGAAACTTGTCCAAAGGGAACAGAGGAGGCTTTTATTCTCCTCACAGTGCGTAGAGCCAAGGGAAAGAAGAGAGGCCCCATCTGGCTGAAGTCTAGAAGGTCTCCTGGGAAAAAATGTAAAGCTCAAAAAAAAAAAAAAAAATTTACAGGATGTAGTTTAAATAAGGTGGACTGATAGAGAAGCTAAACCAGAAAATAATAAACTAATTGAAGGGAGAACCAAAGATTAACTCAACACCAGCAGAAACTTAAGACAGGTCAGTGGGAATGACTATGCAGGCACTTGGGAGGAGCTGGGAGTCTCGTTGCCTCTATGAGGATTATACACACCCTCCTATACTGTTGGGGCAAAATGTGTTTCTGGCTCACATAATCATGGCAGATTTCATCCCATGTGAACGTTAATGTCATTCAAAGTGAGGCTGTTTATTTTTTCTGAATAAAACACTATTGGTGTTTTTCTGAATGCATAAAGCTTCGTGTGACTCTGAGTTAACTGTGTTCATTTTTCCCTCTAATTGCCAGCGTGTGACTTATTATTGACTTACTGGGTTTTTATGCTTTGAATTGTAGCTTCTAGGGTCTTATGTGTGAGGATTGTTTCTTTTTTTAGGCAACTGCATACTGACATTTGGATTTAGAAGGTGGATCAAATGACACTAGATAGGATGAAATAATGTCAGGTGAAATGTGTAGATAAAATAATGTCAGGATTCGTTGTGAATTATCCATCTCCTTTGTAAAGTGTGGCTTTCAGGTGGCTGCGTCAGGCTTAGGCGGCCTGTCCCGGTGCCAACCACAGATCTTGTCCCTGTCACCAGCTCGCCTGCTCCTTCAAGGAGACCCTGCAGCCAAGCCCAGGGCTACCACCACGTTTCCATACACGTCAGTCAACGGTATATTATAACTGAGAACGCAAGCACTTGCAAAGCTGAATTGCAACGGTGGAATGTGATTGCGTCCTGGGCCTCTGGCCACAACAGCCTGCTGCCCTGCCACCAGCTGAGTTCATTGTAGGAGGGGGTGAAACTGTGTCTGCCTTCATCCCTCTACCTTACATGTGAAATCCAAACTCTCCTGTGGTGGTATAACTGTTTGGTGCCAGTAAATTTTCCCTTGAAGCTGTGTTGCCATCTCCCAGCATCGAGGACAGATGACTCATCCAAGATTACTGTGCTTCCCTTGCTTCTCTTGACCACATCCTTCCCAATCTGCAGCCATAGTCCTTGGTCTCCATAAGCTCTCTGTGGCCAGCCTGAAGGGTAGGAAGGAAGGAGCACCCATCTCTGTGCAATGCACCAACATTTCACACTCTGCTCATGGCATGTCCATGGCTAAGTAGTCCCAACAGCCTCTGCCCACTTGATGCTTAATTCCTTTCTTCATTGCTGCTCCTTCCATCCGTCCTGGCTCCTGGACAATGCTGCTTTTCCCCTACCTCTGTGTGACCTTACCTCACCTCTTGCTGACACATCTCTCTGGCTTGCCCTCTGGCACGGCGCTGACCCCGCAGCAAGCAGACATTCTTCTTGCCACTTCCTTTTCTCACCTGACAATGTGTATCCCATCCATCTCACTGTGTCATTTCAGGTTATCCCTCCATCCCCATCAATTTTGAGTAGATTTCCATGCCTTTTCATACGTTTTCTGAAGTAGTGGGTGATTTCTCCAAACTTAAAAACCTGGAAATTTGATGCTATCCCATTGCATTTCTTTGCAGGGTCATAGCCTGGACAGATCCTATAGCTGGGCAGTACGGGTGGACTCCCCTGTGTCTAGTCGTCATAGTACCTTTAGTAAGAAAGCCAGTCCATTACTTAGTTTGATTCTCCCAGAAGGACTACAAGACCCATTAAAGGCTGAGACTCCTTCATTGGTGCACAACTGCATGCAAAGTGGGACCAAGAAATTGACTCCAACATACATTCCCCCTCTGCCTCCATACCTTCACTTATACATTCATAACCACAGCCATTGCCCTCTGCTTCCCACTGCTTCTGGGCCAGTCTGTGCCCATTTAGAAGCTCTTATGTAGGTAATACAGCTGCTTTCCCTTTGCCCAAGTCTGCTTTGTTTTCTTTGAGAAGAACCAAGCGAACCAAAGCTTTAAAACATTCATTAATCTCTAATGAAAATAGCAACACCTAAATGTTCAATAATTTTATTTTTAGATTGATGCCCTTTTTTTCCTCTCTGCTAATGCAGAGGTGTTGAAGGGGAGGACCTTGGTCAAAAGCCTGAGGTGCTCTTCTGCTACAGAGTTCATTTGGGATGCAGTTTTCAGCTTGTTTGTTGACGTTTGGCAGTTCCTGACAAAACAAGGCAAGTGCACCCAAAAGGAGTGAGAAAACAAGGCAGTGAAAATCAGGGAAATGCCATTTCTGTCAGTTTTATTTAGTTACTGGAAAATCACTGGCCCAGCACGCAGTCAAGAAGCATGTTATATGTGCACTGGCATATATACTTGAGTCTGGCACCTTTCTGTTGGCAGCAGATTCCTTAAGGTTTGTTCTCAGTTGGCTTTTTTGTGACCAAAGCAAGGAAAGGGTAGATTTGTCCCGGATCAGCCACTCTCAAAAACAAAAGAGAGAGACAAGCATAAGGCACGTCTTTCTCCACGTGAAGAATTGGTCACGGAAGTAAACCAGCAAGTTAGGGATAAGAAGGCAGCAGAAGCAATGGGTTCATGTCTCAGGCCAGGTAGGGACACAGCTATGGAAGCAGATGACACCAAAGCATGTCCTCATGCCAAGAGGATCTTCCTGGCACCTTTGGATAGCCGAGGCATCTGCATGTCACTGGGGTGTTTCAGACACCATTGGGGCATTACTTCCATGTGCTGTTCCCATGTATCCAAGAAGCTGCATGGAGGCAGGGCAGAACATGGGATGTTTCTTGGTTCATACAGCCTCTCACTGGGCACTGAGCCATCCCTGCTGGCTCTGGGCAAGAGCTGTCTCCTATTAGGTTCAACAAAGGTGCTGGTATAGAAAAGGACTGGGGCCTATTGGTGGGTACTTACGAATATTTCCATTCTCTGTAGTGCAAAGGTGTGTTTTCTTCCTTGCCCATCTAGAGTGTGCAACAGAGGGACAGAAGTGCCACCAACTCCTGGGTCATCTCTCACCATAGTAGTATTAGTGAGTACAGAAACAACAAACTTTCATCCCAGCCATATGTCCTGGTTTCTGCTGGGATAGAGTTAATTGTCTTCCTAGTAGTGGTATAGTGTTATGTTTTGGGTTCAGTGTGAGAAGAATGTTGATAACACACTGATGTTTTCAGTTATTGCCAAGTAGTGTTTAGACTAAGTCAAGGATTTTTCAGCTTCTCACACCCAGCCAGCAAGAAGGCTGGAGGGGCACAAGAAGTTGGGAGGGGACACAGCCAGGGCCGCTGACCCAAACTGGCCAAAGGGATATTCCATACCGTGTGACATCACATCTAGTATATAAACTGGGGGGAGGGAGAGTGGAGGGATCGCCGCTTGGGGACTAACTGGGCATTGATTGGCGGCTGGTGAGCAATTGCATTGTGCATCAATTGTATATTGCAATCCTTTTATTATTACTATTGTCATTTTATTAGTGTTACTATTATCATTACTAGTTTCTTCTTTTCTGTTCTATTAAACTGTTCTTATCTCAGCCCATGAGTTTTACTTTTTTCCCCGACTCTCTCCCCCATCACACTGGGTGGGGGGAGTGATTGAGTGAGTGAGTGAGTGAGCGAGCGGCTGGTGCTTAGTTGCTGGCTGGGGTTAAACCATGACACCATATTAGCTAGCCATTGAGTTGTGCAGCTTATCTGGTAAAAAACAGTGATTTTCAGGTAGTTGGTGACGTGTTTATAGCTGGATTAGCCCAGCTGACCAAGGTGATTTGCAAGCTGTGCTGTAACTTGGGTAGGTTACAGAAAAATAGGTGGCACGTATGCTGTCAGCGTAAAGTGAAGGTAATGAACATAGCTTATAGAGTGGTAAGTGTTGTGTGGATAAGACCGCTGGATGCTGTGTGGTTTTAGTGAAGTGGCCTCAACAGAGCTGAAAATGCCTCCTCCTTGCAAAGCAGCAGCTCATAATTTGCTTTCTCAGAGTTACGCTGCCTC